AAAGAGTTGAATTATAATTTTCAGTTACTTATTTGCTCGTTCCACTCGCTCCGCTTGGTCGCTCCGCTCCCTCGATAAGCTCGCTCCACTCGCAGGCATCAGTCGACCCCCTTACTTTGTCAATATATGAGCCATACCAACGTAATCCAAATCAAAATTAGTTGAATTATCTTTTGGCAAAACAAACAATAATAAAAATTAATGTAACTTCACAAATCTCAATCTATAATACCTGCGAAGAAGCCAAAATATATTAGTTATAAAGTGCATTGTTGTGTGCAGCTATCTTCCTACAAACCCTCACCATTGTTTTTCTTATTTTATTTTCTTTCTATTTTATTTCCCTTATATGTTTGTTCTCCAAATTCGCCATTTTTTTATTCTCAGGTAAATCGGAATACACAAAGATCGCAGTATTTTGTTGTATAAGTTGCATCAGTTGATTCAATTAGCCCTTTTTATGTTTTGTTTTGTACGTGAAAATGGAACCTATGGACATCGTTGGTAGAACAAAAGAGGATGCCTCGCTTCCAAAAGGTTATTTCTATCCCACCTCTCTTCCAGTTGTTTTCCCTCCCCTTTTTTTTTTTTTCCTATTCCTTTTATCAAATAGTATGAGATCTGTAGCTGTGCTTCCAAAATTTATAGTGGGCTAAGGCATTGAGTGATGTGGAGAGATTGAAGTGATTTGAAACATCTTGAGATGGTGATTATTATTTAAAAAGCGGTTTTCATGACTGGAAGGATATTGAGGGGTTGATTATTGTGTTATATCTTGTAGTATTGGATTCGCCTGTCTGATATGTAGATGCTCTCTGTGGTTTGGTAGAACAAATCGATAATGAAAGTTTGTGGATAAGGAGAGTAGAAAAATGTATACGAAATTTTTGCCCACATGTATAAATGTGAAGATAGGAACTTGCTTTTATGAAGGGAGAAATCTTCATGTATGTTTGTCATTCATATTAAATCATGGTTTCTTTCAGTTTTTTGGATTTGGCCACCTAAATTCTCGAAGCAGCTGTATTAACAAGAAGTAGATATTCTTAGCACTAATGTTGGGCAATAAGTTTGCAACCTTTTTTGTTCAGCGACCTGAGTCAGAAACTTAGAATAGACACTACTGAACTCCAACTCATCACGCAAATTCTTTATTGACTTCCTAGGTTTTCATCATTAGTTGACGTTATGTGATGAGTTATGCAATGAAAAAAGAGTTGAATTATAATTTTCAATTAATTATTTGCTCGTTCCACTCGCAGGCATCAGCCTGCCCCCTTCCTTTGTCAATATATGAGCCATACCAACATAATCCAAATCAAAATTAGTTGAATTATCTTTTGGCAAAACAAACAATAATAACAATTAATGTAACTTCACAACTCTCAATCTATAATACCTGCGAAGAAGCCAAAATATATTAGTTATAAAGTCCATTGTCGCGTGCAGCTACCTTCCTACAAACCCTCACCATTGTTTCTCTTATTTTTCTTTTCTTTCTATTTTTTTTCCCTTATATGTTTGTTCTCCAAATTCGCCGTTTTTTTATTCTCATGTAAATCGGAATACACAAAGATCGCAGTTTTTTGTTGTATAAATTGCATCAGTTGATTCAGTTAGCCCTTTTTATGTTTTGTTTTTTAGGTGAAAATGGAACCTATGGACATCGATGGTAAATCAAAAGAGGATGTCTCGCTTCCAAAAGGTTATTTCTATCCCACCTCTCTTCCAGTTGTTTTGCCTCCCTCCTTTTTTTTTCCTATTCCTTTTATCAAATAGTATGAGATCTGTAGCTGTGCTTCCAAAAATTACAGTGGGCTAAGTCATTGAGTGATGTGGAGAGATTGAAGTGATTTGAAACATCTTGAGATGGTGATTATTATTTAAAAAGAGGTATTCATGACTGGAAGGATATTGAGGGGTTGATTATTGTGTTATATCTTGCAGTATTGGATTCGCCTGTATGATATGTAGATGCTCTCTGTGGCTTGGTAGAACAAATCGATAATGAAAGTTTGTGGATAAGGAGAGTAGGAAAATGTATACGAAATTTTTGCCCACATGTATAAATGTGAAGATAGGAACTTGCTTTTATGAAGGGAGAAATCTTCATGTATGTTTGTCATTCATATTAAATCATGGTTTCTGTCAGTTTTTTGGATTTGGCCACCTAAATTCTCGAAGCAGCTGTATTAACAAGAAGTAGATATTCTTAGCACTAATGTTGGGCAATAAGTTTGCAACCTTTTTTGTTCAGCGACCTGAGTCAGAAACTTAGAATAGACACTACTGAACTCCAACTCATCACGCAAATTCTTTATTGACTTCCTAGGTTTTCATCATTAGTTGACGTTATGTGATGAGTTATGCAATGAAAAAAGAGTTGAATTATAATTTTCAATTACTTATTTGCTCGTTCCACTCGCTCTGCTTCTCTCGCTCCGCTCCCTCGATAAGTTCGCTCCACTCGCAGGCATCAGCCTGCCCCCTTCCTTTGTCAATATATGAGCCATACCAACATAATCCAAATCAAAATTAGTTGAATTATCTTTTGGCAAAACAAACAATAATAACAATTAATGTAACTTCACAACTCTCAATCTATAATACCTGCGAAGAAGCCAAAATATATTAGTTATAAAGTCCATTGTCGCGTGCAGCTACCTTCCTACAAACCCTCACCATTGTTTCTCTTATTTTTCTTTTCTTTCTATTTTTTTTCCCTTATATGTTTGTTCTCCAAATTCGCCGTTTTTTTATTCTCATGTAAATCGGAATACACAAAGATCGCAGTTTTTTGTTGTATAAATTGCATCAGTTGATTCAGTTAGCCCTTTTTATGTTTTGTTTTTTAGGTGAAAATGGAACCTATGGACATCGATGGTAAATCAAAAGAGGATGTCTCGCTTCCAAAAGGTTATTTCTATCCCACCTCTCTTCCAGTTGTTTTGCCTCCCTCCTTTTTTTTTTCCTATTCCTTTTATCAAATAGTATGAGATCTGTAGCTGTGCTTCCAAAAATTACAGTGGGCTAAGTCATTGAGTGATGTGTAGAGATTGAAGTGATTTGAAACATCTTGAGATGGTGATTATTATATAAAAAGAGGTATTCATGACTGGAAGGATATTGAGGGGTTGATTATTGTGTTATATCTTGCAGTATTGGATTCGCCTGTCTGATATGTAGATGCTCTCTGCGGTTTGGTAGAAGAAATCGATAATGAAAGTTTGTGGTTAAGGAGAGTAGGAAAACGTATACGAAATTTTTGCCCACATGTATAAATGTGAAGATATGAACTTGCTTTTACGAAGGGAGAAATCTTCATGTATGTTTGTCATTCATATTAAATCATGCGTTCTGTCAGTTTTTAGGATTTGGCCACCTAAATTCTCGAAGCAGCTGTATCAGCAAGAAGTAGATATCCTGAGCCCTAATGTTGGGCAATAAGTTTGCAACCTTTTTTGTTCAGCGAACAGAGTCAGAAACTTAGAATAGACACTACTGAACTCCAACTCATCACGCAAATTCTTTATTGACTTCTTCAGTTTTCATCATTAGTTGACGTTATGTGATGAGTTATGCAATGAAAAAAGAGTTGAATTATAACTTTCAATTACTTATTTGCTAGTTCCACTCGCTCCGCTCGGTCGTTCCGCTTCCCTCGCTTCACTCGGACGCTCCGCTTCCTCGATAAGCTCGATCCACTCGCAGGCATCAGCCTGCCCCCTTCCTTTGTCAATATATGAGCCATACCAACATAATCCAAATCAAAATTAGTTGAGTTATATTTTGGCAAAACAAACAATAATAAAAATTAATGTAACTTCACAAATCTCAATCTATAATACCTGCGAAGAAGCCAAAATATATTAGTTATAAAGTCCATTGTCCCGTGCAACTACCTTCCTACAAACCCTCACCATTGTTTCTCTTATTTTTCTTTTCTTTCTATTTTTTTTCCCTTATATGTTTGTTCTCCAAATTCGCCGTTTTTTGATTCTCAGGTAAATCGGAATACACAAAGATCGCAGTTTTTTGTTGTATAAATTGCATCAGTTGATTCAGTTAGCCCTTTTTATGATTTGTTCTTTTTGGTGAAAATGGAACCTATGGACATCGTTGGTCGAACGAAAGAGGATGCCTCACTTCCAAAAGGTTATTTCTATTCCACCTCTCTTCCAGTTGTTTTGCCTCCCTTCTTTTTATTTTTCCCCTATTTCTTTTATCAAATAGTATGAGATTTGTAGTTGTGCTTCCAAAATTTACAGTGGGCTAAGGCATTGAGTGATGTGGAGAGATTGAAGTGATTTGAAACATCTTGAGATGGTGATTATTATTTAAAAAGAGGTTTTCATGACTGGAAGGATATTAAGGGGTTGATTATTGTGTTATATCTTGCAGTATTGGTTTCACCTGTCTGATATGTAGATGCTCTCTGTGGTTTGGTAGAACAAATCGATAATGAAAGTTTGTGGATAAGAGAGTAGGAAAATGTATACGAAATTTTGCCCACATGTATAAATGTGAAGATAGGAACTTGCTTTTACGAGGGGAGAAATCTTCATGTATGTTTGTCATTCATATTAAATCATGGGTTCTGTCAGTTTTTAGGATTTGTTCACCTAAATTCACGAAGCAGCTGTATCAGCAAAAAGTAGATATTCTGAGCACTAATGTTGGGCAATAAGTTTGCAACCTTTTTTGTTCAGCGACCTGAGTCAGAAACTTATAATAAACATTACTGAACTCCAACTCATCATGCAAAGATGTTATGTGATAAGTTATGCAATGAAAAAAGAGTTGAATTATAATTTTCAATTACTTATTTGCGATGGGAAAAAGAAATTTAAGTTTAATTGAAGGTATTCAATGATAAGGACTTGAACTATCTATTACTCCCTGTATCTGAAGGCTTTCTTAGCCTCTTCTTTTTGTTTTCTAACCAACTTAATTACTGTACGTGGATTAAAGCATTCAAATTACAATTGTTCTCCTTTCAGCGACTATGACAAAAATCATCAAGGAGATGCTCCCTCCAGATGTTGGTGTTGCAAGAGATACTCAAGACCTTCTAATAGAGTGTTGTGTAGGTATGTCATTTGGCCTTTTTTCCCCCCTTCCATAACATATTTGATATTTACCATTGTCTAACCTTATAATTGGATTAAGTTTGGCAATTGCCTGCTGTAGAACTGCAGCTCTATTCTTCCATCTTATTGTGTTGGTGTGCACATTAGTCAATTGGACTGTTTTTGGAGTACTTGGAGTCCATGACATTTAACCATAAACTATGGTGAAACCTAGAAAACATAAATGTCTCTCCAAATAGTTACGTACAATGTTTAACAGTTAAATAGTTAATACTTGTATTCGATTTTCCCTAAGAGTAATATTACCAGTATATCAATTTCATATGCAAGGCTTATAAAAAACTTTCTCCTGTTAGGAGAATGAGAGAGTCATTATGCACCAAGACTAATGTGTCCAGTCGAGGATGTAATATATGAAAGTACTACACATTAAACATATATGATTGATAATTATATTTGGGAGACAGTATATTTATTAGAGGAAGAGTGCCCTATTCGAAGCATTAAGCACCTGTTTTTCTTCTTCTTAAACTTTCCCTTTTCTTGATCATTGATAAAGTTAATGTGGTGGCTTGTGAGGGGTTGATGTTGTTAACATGAATGATTGTAGTATGTATAGTTATCTGATGAAATTTTTTTTATTGGTATTTCATTTCTGTTTCACTTGTTGCTGTATCTTTTCAGTTTCTAACGAGGGGACTTCCAGTTCAATACTCGATGGCTTATTGTTTTTTCTTTCTCTTTATTTTTCCGAATTTATCAATCTGATTTCATCAGAAACCAATGAAGTCTGTAACTAGGAAGACAGAAAAACAATTACTCCAGAACATGTCCTCAAGGCCTTAGAGGTCTGCTTTCTCTACTCTATAATTTTTTATGTTTCCCTTTTGTTAAACTGGGTTCAAGAAATTTAGTTTCATTATATTTTTTCATGGGCTTTTGTTATGTTCGATGATTATAAATAATTTCTTTTTTGCAGTTTGTAATGTTCCTGGAATTGTTCGTATATTTCGTTATAGTTCTTATTCTCTTGAACACTTCTATTAATTGCTCACACTACTTGCACAACAATTTTGGACCCTCAGCTGAGTGTGTTGTGCTGATCACAAACTATTTTAGGTCATTGTTTTTTTTTTCTTCATGTTATAATCCTCTGAAAGCATTGTTTTTTAGCATATGAAAAAATCTTTGACGTTCTACGATCTTGGACTAGTTATCCATACACTTCTCACAATATTTGTGTTTAATGCAATATTTTAGTGTTGTGTCAATTTTATGTACATTATTGCATTAAGGTTGTGTTTTAAAGGACCTGAACTATTTTTCTCGTTGAAACAATCCTGTGCGGAGATAGCTTCAACTGTTGGCAAACCGTTGTTTCGATAGTCTGGAAAAGGCGAATAGCGTAAAACATACGTTTGACTTGAGCCATCTTATGTGTGAGTAGCAGTTGGAGTGACATTTCAGTCCAACTGTATAAAATTTTCTGTTTATTTATTTTATCTTGTGACATTTCACTAATAACAGTGATGGACTATGTGTTTAATTCTGGTTTCATGGAAAAACATGAGTGTCGGTTCGTTATGGTTAAGTTGATGAGATCTCCTATGGTGCTTAAATATTTCTAAAAAAAAAAAGAAAAAAAGGTTTTTCTATATTTGTCCGCCTTAATGATCTTTTAAACCATCAGTCAATTAAATCTTGTATTCTTTTCTCCTTTTTTGCTTTGCTGAATTTGACAAGTATTCGGGCCAGAATAAGAATTGTTTAACTACCTTTTGGATGGTATTGGCAAAAATTTTTTCATCTATCCTGAAGTCAATTACAACTACGTACAAAACTAATACGTATTCTCTTTTCTTGCCCGACTTTCTGTCGTGTTTGTCCATGCAATGGAACTTAATTTTTTCGGTCGTGATCAATCAGGTTCTTGGATTTTCGGAGTATATTGAAGAAGTATATGCTGCATATGAGCAGCACAGGCTGGAGACCATGGTAAACTGGACAATTTTTTCTTTTCTTTTCTTCTTGGTTCTTAGGCTATCGTAGTCTCTTTACATGTTTTCACAAACTTTGATTAGGCATAATGGTCCGTACTAAGGCTATGGTTGGTAACTAAATAAGCTAGCTTCTAACTTATTTGTTTAGCTTATAAGCTTCTTGTATTCAAATAAGCCTCGTTTGGTTAACCAAACGAATTTTTTTAAAAGTTCGAGCTTATTTCATAAGCTTCTTTAAGTAGCTTTTCAAATAAGTCAAGTTGAATTTTTTATTTCAGCTAGCTTATCAGCTAATTTTACTAAACACTATAAGCTAGCTTTTCAGTTATAAGTCATGTTTATAAGATATAAGCTCGAAAATACATATAACTTATAAGCTATCTGCTTATCAGCTAGTTTTACCAGACATAACCTAAATATTTGTGGCGAAACCTTTCTTTTTTTTTTTTATTTTTTGTTCTTGTTTTTAATAAATTTTGTACAGGACACAATGAGAGGCGGAAAATGGAGCAACGTAGCGGAGATGACGGAAGAGGAAGCACTTGCAGAGCAGCAAAAGATGTTTGCGGAGGCTCGTGCGAGGATGAATGGTGGGCCCTCTGCCCCAAACCCCAAGCAGCCATCAGAGCCCCCGAACCAGCCAACACCCAATGCCTAATGTCGGGCCCCGTTTATTTGTGGATTATTTGAGAATATTGTTATTATTTTTATTGTTATTATTATTATTATTATTACTTTGGTGATAATATTTATATTTATTTTCTTGAATGTCATAATATTATTAATTGTCTAAATGTCAATATGATTTTCGTGATTAATTATTTAATGTGGATGATGTGTATTAATATATATATGTAAAATATATATATTGTTCGGTTTATTTTTATCGTACGTTTGAATTCGTAATCGAGCCCGTGAGCCGATTTATTTTTGCGAAACGAGCCCGTGAGCTGATTTAATGTCGCAAACCCAGCCCAAGAGGCACGAAAATTTGGCCCAGCTTCTCGGGCCCGGCCCAACAGATTTTTCTCCTCTTTTTCTTTCAGGCGTGAGTCGTGTGTATGGAGTTTGTGTTTGTCTTGGACAACAAGACTTCTCGTTAACCCTAATGAGAATATTTATAATTCTCCATCTCGGTTTCTCTCTTCACATCTTTCCCGCAGCTTTTTCTTTTTCTGATCGTTAAACCCATCTCTCTCTCTCTCTCGTGATTTCCTTTCGGTTCTTTCAAAAATCCGGCCATCACCATCTCATTCATCACCCTCGTCGTCCCTCCATAATCCTTGTCGCTCAGTCCCTCATCATCATCGCTGTCACTATCTAATCGTCATCACGTCACCTTCGGAGCACAGCAACCCGTGATCAACTTCCCGCAGCCCCTGATCGCGTTTTTCCGGAGAACTATTCTCCTCACGCCATCGCCGCGCCGCGACCAGCACCTCCGCCACGCCACGTCACGTCGCCACGCCGTGACCAGAGCACCCGCCGCGCCGCGACGCCATCCCAAGCTCTTTGCCGCGCCGCGAAGCCGCCACAGGGGTCCCCGTCATCGCGCAACTCCCACGCGCAGAATCTTCCGGCGACCTTACAGCAACGTCCGGCGACCTAGCAGCAGCGACCCATCCCCTCTCGAAGCCGCTGCAGCATCTTCTCCTTCCGGCGAGACGCGAGAATCCGTCGTGCCCCATTCGTGTTCGTTTCGTTGTTCGAGTTTTTCCCGAGAACGGTATCTCATCGTTTTTCCGTCTCGTTTAACTCGTATATGATTTATTTCGTTATGTGCTTATTGTCGTGAAGAGCTTGTTGAACAACATAATATATGTGTGAATTGCTAGAGGCGAATATGCTCGATTATGTGTTATTATGATTTTATGTGTTGTCGTATGTTCGGGACCTCTTCGATTTTCTCATAAATCGAATGAGACCTCGAAAGTCGTGTAAGTCGGTGGATATTGGAACAATTTTGAGCCCTAGGTCTTATGAAAAGGCCTCGGACGAGAAATTTCATGTTATGAATTAATTGACAAGTTGTTGAGCATTTATATCGCTGTTTTCGTGTTTGAACTTTTAAAAATAGCTCGCGGATCGAAACGATTAGAAAATTTGAGGATGATGTTGTCTGTTCATTAGCAGCCTTATGTAAAAATTTCGTGATTTTTAGAAGCCTGTTGCTATTTTTAATAATTATAATGTAATCTGATCAGAATAGTGTTAAATGCATAAAACATTAATTCGTGAATCAAATGAGCTGAAATTTGAATATGTCATGTCTCTGTAACTTTTATATGTTGTGTTAAAGTTTTAGAATTTTTGGACTTGATTTGATGTGGTTAATAATTTATTTATCGAATCTGCTGAAGCGTTGTTTGAATTTTTATAAATTGGTTGTTTCGTGAAAAATTTTGAAATTTTACTGACATGCTTATTTTATGTCTTGAATCATGTTTTTAAAATATGAGAATTTTTGGAGTCCATTTTGATTCGGTTTTGATTTAAATTTGATAAACTGCTGATGCTCGTATGAATTTTTAAAAATAGTAGCAGTCAACATTCGGAGCTGAGATTTTTATACATGGATTTTAGCATGCTGTATGTTGTTGTGTAAAATTTTCAAGTTATGATTCGTTCATTAAGTTCAAGTATGAATTAATGTTCCCTTTTTGTTGATATCTTGTTCGAATTTTATAAAATAGTTTATTTTGAGTTTGAAGCTGAAAATTTGTGGTTTTACATATTTCTAGGAGATGTAATTTTGTGTAAATTTTCAGAGCCTAAGTCGTAGGGTAGCTTGACCGTCTATTTTTCATGCGATTAATGATTGCTATTTTCGAAACATGATTTGTTATATGAAAATTGGGAATCGACTTGCTTTTCGTTTTGATGTGAGTTTGACTTGGTCAATCCTTGGATGGATTTATGTGAACTCCCTTATGTGGTTTGGTCGAGGTTAGTGTTGTCAGTATTTTTACCGGAGTAGAATCGAAAGATTCGTCCCCGGATCGTATCGCAAGGAAGGTTAGCCGGATATTCTTGTGCGTTTATTCAGTCACGAAAAAGAGAAAACAAACTCCTAAACACTCTAATTCAATATTTCTGGGTTTCGATTATCAACTACTAATTTGAACTAAATAAAATGAAAGCAAAATAGCAAATGAATTTACTGAATAAATAAAGTGCTAGGGAATCGGGGATAATTGCTTTCGGTTCTAACACAATCACCGGCAATCGATTGCTCGGTTAAAGGTCTTGAACTGTTTCTCGTTCAGAGGTTCACTCTTAATAATTCTTCGTAACAAGAGAGTGACTGTAAACGATTAACTATCAATTCCACCAACACATAGATAACACGTTTCTGAACAAATCTATTCTAAACGAGCCTAATTCTACCAACGTCTCCCCTCTCGGTTCTACACGTTGATTATCTAGGTTAGAAAGGTGATCAATCTACTAACCCTATGATTCACACAACTCGAATAGACATGAACAATCAAAAGCACTCAATTATAACGAACCTAATCAATCATCCCCTATCCCTAGCAAATAGATTTAGCTACTCATATAGAATTCAACATCAACATTCAAATTAACCCAAGCCATCATCATCAACCAAAGCAATTGAGAAAAAGAACTTACGATTAATATAAAGAATTCAATGTCAAACCCAAGTGCATCCAAATCCCAAGCAAGAAATAGGAGTTTGTCAATCTCCAAAACTAATCAAAAGTGCAAACGAAAGAAAAGGAATAGGTTTTTCCCCAGAAAGAACGTAAAAACAAAGTCTGAAAAGTGAATAATGAACCCTAAGATCGAAATCAGCATTAAAAATCCCGTTCTCGAAATTTGTGTCGGTTAAGTTGCGAGTCGCGAGATGGTCTTCCCCTGGGTCGCGAGTCGCGACTTCCCCGCGAGACGCGCGTCTTCAAAATGAACATTTCTGGGGCTGGTCGCGACATAACTCGCGAGTCGCGACGCCATCTCACGAGTCGCGACTCGTTCCTCTTAAATCCTCTTGAGCCTCAGTTTTCCCCGCGAGTCGCGACATTTTTGCGAGTCGCAAGAAACTCTGGGAGCGTGTTTCTGTCCGTTTTCAGTCCTCTTCGTCGTCTTCTGGGCTCGGCCTCGAAAATTCTCGATATTGCGGTCTCGGCTCAAGCAGTCCCAACTCGACCGGTACAACCTATCTCCTGAAAACACAAAAACAAAGAAAACACGAAGCAAAACACGGCAAAAAGATACAAAGATATAAACTAAAGATAATAACACAAAACGAACGAAATGGACCAAATAAACTACGAAAATCCTACAAATGGAGGAAAACAAAAAGAAAATAAACATGAAATAAAGACACAAAAATGGGACAAACAGTTAGTGCCGAGTCTTAGTGTTCCAACATCCACAGGACTTCACGAACTACTTAGTCGAAATAAGTTCGACTAGGTCTGTCTTGTTGATTTTCGATTTAAGTCAAGATAGATATTGATTGTAGGATCTTGACATCATGTAGGTGTCTAGAGGTGTTGACCTCGCCTCATTTTGAGATTTGTGACTGTGAACTGTTGCTGCTGTTAGGTGGGTACATTTGTGTTGTATCCATAATTATCGCACTCCTTATTTCGTGTAATGTTTCTTTTGAAAATTTTTGTATGCATGAGAACTCTAGTCTAAGTATCCCAAATGCTAGTGCCTTGATGAATGCGAAAGTAGTAGGAGGTCGCCTGCCCGTTGTATCCGGGAGGGACGCCCCATGCCGTTGTATCTGGAAGGGGAAAAACATCTCTGCTGTCTCCTGGAAAGGATCCTGCGAACCGTTGTACCCGGGGGTGGGAATGTTTCCAGTTACAGCCATGCCGTTGTATCCGGAAGGTTGTTGTATGTACATAGAAGGTTTGCGATAGGGCTGGGTAGGGGGTTTAGGCTATGAATTCTGTGCCTACCGATACTGAAACTGTTTTACCGTGATACTGCTTTTTAAAATAACTATACGAGATAACTGTGCGATAATGGTGAGCTAGTTGGTTGCTCACCCCCATTATTTTCTTGTTGTCTTCTCTCTTCCTTTGTTCTAGGTTGAGACGAGCTGGAGGCGGTGGCGTAGGACGAGCGAGATGGTGGTCAATATGTGTTGAAAACCTATGCTTCCGTATAAACTTGATATTTATTTATTTGCTATTGCACTTTGGATTATTTGTTACGTCACTTTCGAACTATGTTGAATTTCGTTTGAACCTTGCTTTCATGCTAGTCGTTTGGTAATGGTTTTGAAATTTATGATTATTAAGATTGTTATTCTGATAGCTCGAGCATGTGTAGGTTCTATCGATTGATTGATTTGGTGTTATTATTTGTTTGTTGTGGATAGTAAGTAGCTCCCGTTTCTCGATAAATGTTTTAACTTGGATTTTTTTTAAAAAAAAAATTCTCTGAGTTTTTTTTAAATTAATTCGGTAAATTCGTTAAAATAAAACGGGGTGTTACAGTTTGGTATCAGAGCGAGTCTTGCTTTTCTGTAGACTGGTTCATTTGTGATTAAATTGTTTAATGACCAATGACCACTCGCTTCGTCTCGTCGCGCCAGCTCAAGGTATGAAT